AGTGTCCGCTGAGCTGGGATGGGGGGGACAGGGAGACACCAACTACCTGTACACCAGCTTCTGCCTCAGGATTGGTTGCTTATGGCTGCTGTCTGAACTTAACGAGACAGCGTGCTGACATACTCACTCTCCTCTCCCGACCTCCCCTCCCCACTCACACACTCCTTGTCACACACCTCCCCACCACACACACACACTTCTGTGGGCTTTTTGTGTTAGTATTCAGCAATATCAGTTTGGTCATATTACTGAGTGCTACTTTAAAAAATGATTTAAAATGTGTTACCTTTCGGGCACAGACAGTAATCATTACAATGTTCATTGCACGGTGTAAACAAACTATGCCAACACACATTATTGTAGCTCAGTGTTAAAATGCTCCTTCAAGGCATCCCCCAGCCAAATAGCCCCTCACTGGGCTACCCTTATAGCCTTGTGTTCACAATGCACAGCACAATATTGAACAGCAGTGAAGGATCCATGCTTTCTAACAGAGATGGGTGGGTTACAGGTTACAAGGGCAGTTGAAAAGCAGCTGGCAATCTAGTAGGATGCCCATGGAACGATGGGATTGAGAAACCTTCATCATGTGACACTGTGACTGCCCCGATAAGGCATTGCAAACCCTTCCCAAAGCACGCTGGGGCCAGTGGCACGGTGAGATTGATACCCACAGTTCACTGCTCTGTGCGTCAATGCAAGAGATGCTATTGTGGATGCACTCCACTGACACAAAAAGCATAGTGTGGACATGCAACAGTGGTTTAATTACAGTGGCGGCTTTACGTTGATGTAACTTGCGTCGACAAAACTCTGTAGTGTAGACAAGGCCTAAGTTAGAGATGAATATAGGCTTTTATGGAAAGAAACATGGGAGTAGCTGAAAATAAGAATTATTTCTTATACTACACTTTCACACTTTGAGGAAGAATAGTTTCTACGGGGTAATGGTTCTAAATTCAGTATCGAGTCAATGAATATTATTTTGTCAGCAACTATGGAAAGTAAAATAAATAAGAAAATCGTTGATAAAATATCAAAATGTTATGTTCTCTAATATGATTATATTAATCCAATTCCATTTTGAAACAAGGTTTACCATTAATAGGAGTATGAAGCCATTCTTAGATTATATTAGTTGCAGATTGTTATATTTCTTGAATTTAAAACAATAAGTTGAAAATAAGGAAACCTGTAATGAACTGATTTAGAGACAATACATCATACAAACTATGAAATATCGAACGTAAGGACTAATATACATCCAACTGCATATATTTAAGCAATAGTTTCATAAAGAGTTTCTGATATCATAGACCACAGGAGTATAACCCAAGCTATATGTTCATGTCACCAGAAACCTAAAATGGAGTTACCACCATAATTTATGTATATTTTAAAATTGTACTTAATGGACAAAGAAAATATTCTAAGTGCTCACTCTCTGTGCAAAAATCAAAATCTAGTCACATTTTTAATCATTTTCACTGTGATTAACGGAATCATAAAAAAATAAATGGAAAAGCCATATCAGATCATCCAAGCCATCACCTTATCTACAAGGGATTGTTATCTACAGCTGAGTTCCTAGTGTTTAGTTAGAAACGCTATAAACTTCCTAGGGGTCCCAGTAGCTTTTTGAAGTTGCTAGAATGCTGCTGTGCCACTGAAACCTTCTAGATGTACTTAAAACTGTTGCTTGCAAGTTGTCTTCTCCTTTCCTCAATAATTTCTATTATATACTTTTAGGAAAGTTTTAATCTCATTGTGCACTTTGCAAAGAGAAACAGCTGTAATTTTTCTGTCTATGGTCCATCCCTGGCAAAACTTTAGCAAAAAAAATTTTAATATGAAAACAATAAAATTTAATTTTAATAAACTGATTATATTGGAAGGATTCCTTTGATTCCTACTATGTCAGTGAAACTGTTTATGAAAAATATTATCTCAGAACACAGACGAGTTGTTTGTATAATTTCTAAAGTAGCAACTGAACAAGGTCTGAAACAGAAGAAAAACGTCTGTTTCTTCCACTTATGTGGCCAACAATAACGTCTACATTCTGACAGAAATCGCGTGTATGCTAGCAAGCAGGGGAATTTCAAAAGCACTTAATCAGGAAGTGACCAATAAATAAAATATAGGCTCCTCAGACACTGACCTAAAGAAGCTGCACAGACTTCTTTGGCTCCCTAGACTCATGGCCTGCCCTTGATTCTGGAGCCCAAAAGATGATCAGTTATGTTTGTTCTTTGTGTGCAGATAACAGTTATTTTAGGTTTAAGAAAAACAAAAATATATATATAAAGTCTCCATGAAAGAAAGAACACGCTGAGTCACCAACATCCTACATCACTAAAGATGCACAAAACAGCAGATGCCTCATAATTGAGCTAGCTGGCAGTCAGGATTCCTCTAGCTCAAAAGGTGCAGCACAAGGAAAATAGAACATCTCATTTCAATTATATACTGAAATACATCACATCTACCTACCTACCAGATTCTAATACTTCCATCCTCATTGCCTCTAACTCAAAACAGAATTAGACCTTCCACTTTTTGGCAGTTACTTCTAAATATACTCTGAAGCAGTGGCTCTTAACCTTTCCAGGAATCTGATTTGTCTTGCGTCTGCCCAAGTTTCACCTCACTTAAAAACTACTTGCTTACAAAATCAGACATAAAAATCTGCACACTATTACTGAAAAATTGCTTACTTCCTCATTTTTACCATACAATTATAAAATAAATATTGTACTTACACTTCAGTGTATAATATATAGAGCAGTATAAACAAGTCATTGTCTGTATGACATTTTCGTTTGTACTGACTTCGGTAGTGCTTTTTATGTAGCCTGTTGTAAAACTAGGCAACTATCTAGATGAGTTGATGTACCCCCTGGAAAACCTGTGTACCCCAGGGGTACATGTACATCTGATTGAAAACCACTGTTCTGAAGAGCTGAGTAACTCCTCCCATCAAAATTGCCAAATATGGAAAATAGACTTAAGGGAATAGCTTATTACTAAGTATTGTTGGGGAGTCCTGTCACGCCCTTATCTGGGAACATGCTCTTCTCCAGTAAAATGCAAACACAGCTAAATGGTCAGTCAAGCTATCATTTAAAGTTAGACTTGTCCCAAAATAAGTTTTTAAACCCTAAAGCCCATCAATTAATAGATGAAACAAGAGGAAGGTGAAAACTAAAAGCAGGAGATTGATGGTTTTCTTCTAATGTGGTACATTACTACTAAGATCTGATTAATTTCTGTAACATTAAGAAGCCAAGTGTAATGTTTACCCAGAGGAGCAACATTCAGCTTTGGAGGCTTTGAGATACACAACATATTCTACAGAGAACATTACAGAAATAATGCAAGTTAGAGTTTCAACCGTTTTTTATTAAGCTGCTCCTCAGTACCTACTGTATAGTAGAGAAGGACAAGATACAGAAGGCCTAAGTTACCAAGATCTAAACCTTTATAAGCGTATATATGGAGAGAGAGACATTGTGAACTGATAGAAGGTGGACTTTTCAGCTATCATTCTTTTTGACTGAAATCAGACATACAAAATCTATAGATGTATATGAAACCACATAGTAAAAAGAAGTTTTCAAATCCCCTCTACTTCAGAGTTTAAGGATCCTGCCAACATAAAAATCAACAGTCCAAAATGTATTCCCTGTTAAATCCAACCTACTTTGCCTCATCTTATTTTCTATTGAAGTGTTAAACTATTTTCCAGAGCTGAGACTTTAATTTCAGCAATTTTAACTAGTGAAGACAGGCAAAAATGGCTAATGTTATCTTTTAATGGAACAGGTTTACTTATTGACACTCCGGCGCTAACTTTCTAAGAACTGAAAATCTAGCAGAGAAATAAATGGGAGAAAAAAATCCTTCTAAATACTCCAACAAGATTTCATACAGCTCCCCTTTAAGTACAGCTGAACTCAACAATGCATACATGTACACCCTAATTTCCACCCCCTACCCTACACACATACATATGCTGGATAAGATATATCCATAATAGTATATAAAAGAATTGCACATAATTTGGAGTTGGGCTACCAGCCCAGTTCTCTATCTGCAGATTTAAAGGAGATATACTCCAGACTTGGGCTGAAATTTTCTTTAAACTGCCTGGTAAATCAGGAATAATGATCCATAGGGAAAGAAGAGCTCATTAGCCTGAGTTCTCCCCCTCTGTACAGATCAATGTGTCCTGGACCCATATAAAAGGAAAAAAATGGCAGTGCTGGCAGGTCAAGCTCTCTGATGGATAGGTTGCCTTCTACCAAATCAAGATTTGCAACCTGGCCCAGTGTAATAGGCCACTAATCAAGTAGAACAGAGCCTTAGGTAAGGAAATCTTCTTGATTATGCAGTGTCTTAAAGATTGAGTGAATGGCTATTTAAATGTCTTGTGAGATTTTAGAAGTTCTGAGCTACAAACCCTTCTAATATCACAGCTTACAACTCTGATTAAGCAGGTTTCTAAGATTCCAGTGGCATTTTAGAATAATAAATCATTTCTCTTTATAACAATTTTACTCACCACCAAGACTAAAATGTAATCAGTTCCAACTGGTCCACACATGTTAATTCCATAATAAATAGCATCATCTCACCAGTTAACAGATCTTTCTCTATTAACACCAAAAGCTATGGTTAGACTATAATGAAAAGTTACTTCTAAAATAATTTTATGTCAATAGTATCTTATCTTGTTTGGTGATGAATTAAGAAAAGTAGGTCTCAACTTATTTTCATATACAATACATAAAATATATCCATTATTTAGCAGGATTTTTCAATCTGTTTTTAGCGTAACAAAAGTGAGTAATATTTTATTTACCTAGAGTGTCTTAAAAATATAAACAATGGGATAGCCATCATACGTATCTGTTCTTCTTCTCCCCTATTTTCTTAGAGAATGACAAAACACACATTGAAAATGCAAACAGTCCAATATATTTGGATAGCTTACTTACATCATACTTTGCAGTTCAGGAGTAAAGCTTGTTGATTTCCCTGTCCCTCTTCCGCTGCTTGAAGAGGCAACATTTGACATCGGGCTAGCTGCAATATTGCTCATCTGAGTAAACAAAAAGAAACAATAGAGCTTGCAAACGTATTTAATTTAATAAAAAGAGGATCTTGGAAATGGCAGCAACTATAAACCACTTCACAAAGTATATGCGGTTTAAAATATCCAGCCTACCATACTATGTTTCATGTTGAAGTTAATAATGTCTTTCATTCAGCGCTGCAAGAAAATTATTTTCTCCTCTATTACATGACAAACTGAGAAAACCACACTGTTCATTTTAGTAAATAGATATAGAAGAGGAATCAATAATAATTGTAATAGTTTCACCTTAGTGACTGATACATATGCTTGCTTTGCATTACGGATTAGGAAGGAAAAAGGCAATTCAGGCAAGACCTGAATGAAAATACCATACATATAAAAGCCTTTCAACGTAGAACAGAAGCCTATTTGAGTTGTCACCTGTATTATCCATAAAATATAAACTGTGGTCAGCAACCAGCCGTCATTGAAAGTGTGTGTTGGGTACGTATTTGTGTTCACATTTCTCCACTGGCCTTTATTTAAAAAAAAAAAAAAATCTCAGGGAGCCATTCAAAAAGCATCAATGCAAGCTTATCTCAATATCTATTCAAGAGCTCACATTATTATGGGCCGTATATGTGGCTTTCACAGGCCCAGTCTTCCAACAGAAGCGCATAACCTTCGGCTCATGCAGCAACCAAATCCCATAGGGACCTTATTCATATAGGGTTTGTCTACATAGGGAGAGAAGATGAATTAAATATAGCTGTGAAGTTAATGTGCATAACAAGTTAAAGTGTATTAAACCTAGTTTTCATTCAGAAAGAAAGTGGCCTTAGTTCACTGTAGCTCAATGGTCCCCAAACTTGTTCCGCCGCTTGTGCAGGGGAAGCCCCTGGCGGGCCAGGCCAGTTTGTTTACCTGCCGTGTCCGCAGGTTTGGCTGATCGCGGCTCCCAGTGGCCGCAGTTTGCTGCTCCAGGCCAATGGGAGCTGCTGGAAGCGGCAGCCAGTACGTCCCTCGGCCCGCACCGCTTCCAGCAGCTCCCATTGGCCTGGAGCAGCGAACCGCGGCCACTGGGAGCCGCGATCAACCGAACCTGCGGACGCGGCAGGT